ACTGTTTGCAGATGACATGATACTATACATAAAGAATCCTAAAGGTGTCACCAGAAAACTACTAGAGCTAATCAATGAATTTGGTAGAGTAGCAGGATACAAAATTAATGCACAGAAATCTCCTGCATTCCTATAAACTAAGGATGAAAAATCTGAAAGAGAATTTAAGGAAACACTCACATTTACCATTGCAACAAAACGAATAAAATACCTATGAATAAATCTACCTAGGGAGACAAAAGAACTGTATGCAGAAAGCTATAAGACACTGATGAAATAAATTAAAGATGATACCAACAGATGGAGAGATATACCATGTTCTTGGATTGGAAGAATCAATATTGTGAAAATGACTATACTACCCAAAGCAATCTACAGATTCAATGCAATCACTATCAAATTACCAATGGCATTTTTCACAGAACTAGAACAAAAAAAGTCTTAAAATTTGTATGGAGACACAAAAGACCTTGAAGAGCCAAAGCACTCTTGAGGGAAAAAAGCGGAGCTGGAGGAATCAGACTCCCTGACTTCAGACTATACTACAAAGCTACAGTAATCAAGACAAAATGGTACTGGCACAAAAACAGACACATAGATCAATGGAACAAGATAGTAAGCCCAGAGATAAACCCATGCACCTATGGTCAACTAATCTATGACAAAGAAGGCAAGGATATACAATGGAGAAAAGACAGTCTCTTCAATAAGTGGTGCTGGGAAAACTGGTCAGCTACATGTAAAAGAATGAAACACTCCCTAACACCATACACAAAAATAAACTCAAAATGGGTTAAAGACCTAAATGTAAGACCGGAGACTATAAAACTCTTAGAGGAAAACATAGGACAAACACTCTTTGACATAAATCACAGCAAGCTCTTTTCTGATCCACCTCCTAGAGTAATGGAAATAAAAACAAATGGGACCTAATGAAACTTCAAAGTTTTTGCACAGCAAAGGAAACCATTAACAAGAAGAAAAGACAACCCTCAGAATGGGAGAAAATATTTGCAAACGAATCAATGGACAAAGGATTAATCTCTGAAATACATAAACAGCTCATGCAGCTCAATAATAAAAAAACAAACAACCCGATCCAAAAATGGGCAGAAGACCTAAATAGACATTTCTCCAAAGAAGACATACAGATGGCCAAGAAGCACATGAAAAGCTGCTCAACATCACTAATTTTTAGAGAAATGCATATCAAAACTACAATGAGGGATCACCTCACACCAGTTAGAATGGGCATCATCGGAAAATCTACAAACAACAAATGTTGGAGAGGGTATGGAGAAAAGAGAACCCTCTTGCACTGTTGGTGGGAATGTAAATTGACACAGCCACTACGGAGAACAGTATGGAGGTTCCTTAAAAAACTAAAAAAAATTACCATATGACCCAGCAATCCCACTACTGGGCATATACCCAGAGACAACGATGATTCAAAAAGACACATGCACCCCAATATTCATTGCAGCACTATTTACAATAGCCAGGTCATGGAAGCAACCTAAATGCCCATTGACAGACGAATGGATAAAGAAGATGTGGTACATATATACACTGGAATATTACTCAGCCATAAAAAAGGAACGAAATTGGGTCATTTGTAGAGACATGGCTGGATCTAGAGACTGCCATACAGAGTGAAGTAAGTCAGAAAGAGAAAAACAAATATCGTATATTAACGCATATATGTGGAACCTAGAAGAATGGTACATATGAACTGGTTTGCAGGGCAGAAATTGAGACAGAGATATAGAGAACAAATGTGTGGACACCAATGGGGGAAAGCGGCAGGGGGGCGGCGGGCGGTGTAATGAACTGGGCGATTGGGATTGACATGTATACACTAATATGTATAAAATGGATGACTAATAAGAACCTGCTATATAAAAAAATAAATAAAATAAAATTCAAAAAAGTAAGAATCACTAGATGTTCCTATATAATTTATTAAATAATTTATCATGCCCTCATTGTTTCAAAATCTGTTTATATCAAAAAAAATGTATAATGGGAAAAAGAAGACAATGGATGTGACAGCCATTTTGTAATGCATGTAGATAAGTGTTGCATAAAAAAACATACATAAAAAAGGTGGTTATAAAAGAAAAGAAAAGATTATTATGTGCTAGCCACTCTTTTAAGCATTTTTGGTACATAGAAATAATTGCCATTAGTTTAACATTGTCTTTATAAAGATGAGAAACCAAGACTTGAGAGGTTAAGTTCGTGAATTTGGTTACTTGTAAGTAGCAGCGATGGGATTTGAACTCTGGACACCAACATTTCTATCCACTGCACTACCTAGGCCCTCAGTTCTCAGATAATTGTGACCATGGTGGGAATTGTGGCCCTCAGCTGTCAGACCTTTCCATTTTTCAAGAAGTTTTTCTGAATTTATCAATGAGAAACTTCTGAATTTTTAAATCATTGGAAATATCTTTTTTTTTTTAATGTTTTCATAAGACTCATTTCAGGTCAGCAATTGGATGCAGACCGAATGTGATCTAGGATTACTTCCTGCCCAAAGTCATTAGGTCACTGCTCAACCTGCAACCCTGTGCACACGCTGGGGAAACCTGCACCAAGGAAGTAGAAATATAAACAGCAACTTGTCCCATTGCAGGAAATGCCCTTTGTGGAAGCTTTGTAGCATTGGGTCATCAGAGGGAGTTTGTCCACCTAGGCTTTGCTAGTTTCACCAGAAACCTAGGGAAAATGTGGATTTAAGATTTGCAATGGAATAGTCTAGACCTGTGTGTTTAGACCAGAGTGCCACTGATCCCGTTCAAAGAGGTCAGTGAAAGCTGTGATACTGACCCTCTCAGCCCCCAGGGGACTGGGGAGTTTCTGTGGTCTAGAGGTCCCTTAGATGGTCACCTCTGGCCACAAGTAGCTCCTCTTTTCAGTTTACCCCATGTTGCAAATATTATAATTTTTAAAAAATGTGTGCCATGAAGTTAAAACAGTTGGGAAGTACTGTTGTGGCCTATTTCTCATGTAATATGTTGCCCTAACTTACCATCAGCTTTTTTCCTTTTAATGAATGGGATCTACATTTTTATATGAATCCTTTAATGAAACTTTCCTCTTCTGCTCACCTGGATGGTAGGACATCCTCCTCCTGGTTCTTACCCTGCTCATTATTCATGGATCTTTTCATTAAAAACAAATAATTTCATTCACTTATTCATTCATTTTAGTTCTCTTCCTGACTTTCAATTTTACACAGCAATTTGGTACTATTTGCTATCAATTCATTCAATAATGATTTGTTATGTGTTTGGAAAGGTCCCTGGGGAAGGGGTGTGAGGCCTAAGAGAGCAATCATTCTGTCTTGGTCTTCCTGGGACATTTCCAGTTTTAGCACTGAATGTCCCAGGGACCCTCAGTCCTGGGCTAACTAGGATGGTTGTTCCCCCTAGGCCTAGCTAACAGGTAGAGCTGTTGTCACAGAGAGAATGAAAGACTCTTCTTCATATGGGTGGGTAGGTATGGAGAAGACAGGGGACAGGGGAGGGTTTCACACAAAATAACCTTAATTTTTTACTACGTAGGTGTAAAGTCATCTGCTGAGAGGAAGGTGAGCAGATGGTAGAGGAAGTGTCATTCAATGAAGCCTAGTTCCCTTCATACCATGTGCTTCTAAAACAACTCTTCTAAAACAACAGCAACTTATGTTAGGTGTATCTATGCTTTGCCTGGATGTAACTGGTCATTTCCTGAATGCAAATTAATACGAACAACTAAAAAAGGGAAATGATTCTATATTTATTTTTCAAAAATAAAAGGCAAGTGCAAAATACATAATCTATTACGCTGAGGCATCATCTAGATCATTAGATGTACCTGTTCCTGTAACTGCCATTCTTTAATAACCACATGCCCTCAACTGGCTACCACGTTCCTGCTCCCCCGTCCCCACATCCTAAAGAACACACCCGGCTTAAGTAATAGTAACTCAAAAATGGGGGAAAAGTGGCTATAGCAGAGGAAGGGAAGTACCTGATTTGATATGTGGCCCTCAAAGATCCACTGGACTGTAGGTGCTATATGGCTGTGAGAGGGGCCAAGGACAGGGCAAGTGTAACAACATGACCTTGGACAAGCACTTAACCTTTCTGTGCCCTGATGTCTCCCTTTGCAAAATGAAGGGATGGATTACATAAGCCCCTAAGGTCCCTCGTGTGTTCTAGAATTCTAGCACTTTTTGAAGGACTGTAAGGGGAGAGAAGCAGTTACAGATACACGTGTGCACACAAACACAAACACACACACGTTAGAAGTCTTTGGTATGTGAAGCCAAGGGGACAGGCCAGAGATCCCTGCAAAAAATTAAGATTGTGACTGGGATGAATCAAGCCCTAGGACACTGAGATCCAGGCAGCTCCGTGAAAGTTTGTAACAAAGGAAGTCTCACTCCCCGCGTCAGAAGCAAGCTTCTCATTATGGACTTTCACAGTTGAGAAAACATTTTCACGTACAACAACAGCTTGCAGACTGAGAAGCATTTGAACACAATAGTGTTGCATTTGGTCCTCACACAATCTTGGGAGGCAGGCATCAGAGTTTCTGTTCTCTCCATTCTATAGATGAGAAAACTGAGTCTGCAAGTAGTTAAGCTCACAGAGCTGAGTCTTGGACTCTGTTCCCACGAATCTCTGCAACCTCTACAGAGAATGGGGGTCAGTGGGGTCTTACCACTGAGCAGCCATCTCAGAAGTAGGAGCCCTGGGTGTGGAGCCTTCAGGACCCCTGGAACACAGGATGGAGCAGAGGCCTGCGGTTGTGAATGCCATGACTGTCGGGTCACCAGAGATACACTAGATTCGAGGGTAGCCTGACCAGTCTGTGTCCTTACTCTCTGCTGGGGTTGTGTCCTTGTGGTCACATCTCCAATCTGGTCACTGCTGGACTCCCTCATCCTGATTGTTCCAGGACCATGGCTTTGGGGTTCTGGGAGGCTGTGGGACTGAAATGATCTAGGAGTCTGTGAGGACTCGTGCTTCTCTGCTGCGTGCTGTCGAGTGAAGCGGGATGCTACGGTACCACTTTTGATGCTGTTTAGATGGCCCATCCACTATAGATTATTATTCCACGAGTAGACCTGTAATGTATTCTTGTACATCTGAATTTAATTAAGAACCTTTCTCTCACTAACGTGAACGTGGTTTTACTGTTTCTGGCCAGGCCAGACAAAGATGTTAGAAGACAGATTTCTGAATTGTGGGCCAATTTCCCTGATCTTTTAAACCCAAGCCCCTGTTCTGAGACAGAGATTTATGACTTTGACATCCTGTCTTCAACCACTCTCTGGTCACTAGGGAGTATGCAGAAGCAACGGCTCCAAGAGTCAAGGTTGTCCCCTGCAACCTCACCAGGATCCTCATGGGATTCAGAGGATTACTTAATTTTCAGTATTCAGAGGACGGTGTCGGGATCACCCCAGCTTTACTTAATCATCTCATGACTTGGGAGCGTTGGTGATGGGATTAAATCTTTGTGCTGTGGTCCATTTCTGATGTGTTGGCCTGTGGAGCCTCAAAGGGCAACGTGAGCTCTACTTTTTCTGTTCCCAAAGGACTAAGACCGGAAACTCATGTACTATTTTGTCCTGTGGCTTCTCTGTTTAGCAATACCTCGCCTTTGGTGCTGATGCTGCTTAAAAATAAGAGAAGGTTCAGGAACACTGACAGTTGTTACCAAGGGCACTTCTCACATCCTCTGCCCCTCCCCATGTGTGATGGCCACACCACCTGCACTTGGGGCAGTAAAAGCCTGCACCCTTTAATCACCTCCCAGTTGCTCACCCCAGCTGTTGACTCAGCTTTAAACATCCAGCCCAGGGAACATTGCCTCTTTGGTGCATGTCATAATCAGGAGATTATGGCTCTCTTCAGATTCTCACTCCACTCCATTTAGGGTGGAGAGCTTGGGAAGCAGGGATGAGGGGATGGTGGCATCCCTCCGTCCATCCATTCACACCTCCATCCAGTCTTCCCTTACACAGCGTCTGACTGCCCACTGGGCGCCATGTGCTAAGCTGGGTGCTGTGCATTCAGTGGTGAACACAGAAGACGCTATCTCAAGGAGCAGCTTCTGTTTCAATAGAGCAGCCCAAGGAACTTCACCTGCTATTATTTCGGGTATGTTTCTTGCTGCCAAGAGTCTGTAGGTGTTTAGGGACCTCATTAAGGTTTGGAAGCTCTGGATCCTCACTGCTCCTTTGGAGCATGGCCCTTGGTTGGGCAAGGCCCTCAACGTGCCACTGTCAGCACTTTCCAGATGAGCACTATGCATGGGGAGGGGCCAGGCCTGGGGCCCCCTGAAGGCTGTGTCATCCCTGGCTCTAGCCACAGAGGCTTCATCACAGAGGGAAGCTGAGCTGTGAGCATGTTGCTAGGCTGTGGCTATTTATTTTTATAAACGAGGCTTCTGCTTAATTTAGAAATCTGCTTTTGCTTTTTTTCCCCTTTGTTCCAGCATCATCTGGCTGTCTGGCACCATCAAAGAATTGCATTTCTGACCCAACAAGAGCTCATGGGTGAATGGGGGCAGGAAAGAGGTTGGGGAGAGGACTGATGCCAGCGAGGCTGCCTCACGGGGAGGTGGAGACACTTGGCCATGCCCCTAGCATCCTGTTCGGCTTTCGGATGAGTTTCATCTATGACACATACAGAGTCCTCACTTGGAACAAGAGGGTTAAAAGAGGCCCTGGCGCTTGCTCCTCTTCTGATTAACCACACCTCGGCGGAACAGAAGGCAAAGCTGCACAGAAGAGGACCAAAGTCAGGTGCCAGAAGCAGGTGACATCCAGACTCTCAGTTCATTGGATGCCGCTATTTCAATAGAGCCACTTTTTTGTGTGGCTATTTAGACATGAGGATATTTCGATTTGGCTTAAAAATTAAGCTGATAAATGTTAGTTTTTCGGCCTAGGGAATATAGCCAATGTTTTATAATAACTTTCAATGGAGTGTAATCTATAAAAATATTGAATCACTGTGTTTGTATACCTGAAACTAATATAACACTGTAAGACAACTCTACTTCAATAAAAGAGAATTTTAATTAAATGATGAGTAAAATGGGCACTTTATACTCCACCTTTGAATTTCACCCCAGCCCCGAGCTTTGTCCTATTGCCAATCCTAATCCTACCTCTGGGCGTCAAGGTGTGTGGATCGGGGAAAGGTATGGTAGAGGCTCAACATGGAAGAGATATACCAGGGATCAGGTAACAGTTAAGGACGGAGTAAATGTCAGGAATAAGGTGCCCTAAGAACCGGGGGCAGGTCGGGAGGAGAGGAGGCTGGGAGGCCTCTAATGTCGATCCAATAGAGACAGAGCAAGACTCAAGAGACGGAGTGACGGGTGGGGAATTGGTAACAAACAAAATCCCGTGAGCCTGCATTTCGGCTCGCCTGTCTTGAGGCTGTGTCAGAACAGCTGCATGACATTGTTGGGCAGGAAAATATTCCACTTAGGATTCAGAACAGCTCATCTTGTCTCCCCCAGGCGCGGTGTCTGACTCATACATGTCTAGGCATTTCACTTGAGGGCTTGTTTGAGCCTCAGTTTCTCCGTATACAACACAGATGATCATGTCGACCCTTCCTCTTTCCCCAGCTGTGTTTTCCCTCCAAGCGACAGGATGCAGAATGAGCCAGCAGCTTGTAAACTGCTTCGAGCCACTTGGAGAAGGTGCTTGCGTAACTAGTGGGCATTAGCCGCTACGAGTGCCCCATGAGTCAAGAGTTTCCGAGTCGGGCAAGTGTAGCCGTCTCTGCCTGATGATTCACGTGGACACAGTAATGCCTTTAGTTGGAACGTACAGTGTTGGTGATGAATTTGCTCTTGCGATGGCAGAGAACTTCATCTTCGCTAGAATGCTATCAACGTGAGGAGTGTGCGGGGATTAGATGGGAAAAGAGTTGAGAGGAATCTGGCACCTGTGCCTGCCATGCAGAGATCCACTGTACGAAGAACTACGGCACATGTTTACGCCCAGTCATCAACTCCTCTTGGCCAGCAAAGAAATTCTTCCAGATTCTTCTGCCATTTGTCAAACCTGCCAAAGTCCCCGGAGGCAGTTTCTGTGTCACTGAAGGTGGAGGGAAGGGAGGACTTTCTCCACCAGGTTTCACTACTTCCTCTGTTGATCTTGTGTGTCACATGGTGAAACCTGATTTTAGTACGGAATGTCCTTCCAGAATTGGTACAAGGAGGCAGCAGGGCCTGGGGCCTCAGCTTCCAGAAGCCTGACCTGGGGCTGCCATGCAGCTGGGCAGGAACCCTCCTCTGAGCCCTCAGAGCAGAGGCAGAGGGCAGGAAGGGCATGCGTGTCTCTGCAGCTCGCTGGCCCAGCCGTGCCTCCGAGTGCTGGCCGCCCCGATCCCTGCTCTAGGAGCCAAGATGCCATCTCCCTGGTACGGTTAATCTTCGTTCCTGCCACCAACTCACCTTTCTTTGTTACTTCTCACCATGCCTCTGGCCGCAGATTCCTTATGGATTCCTTTCTCCGGTGTCGTGTTTTGATTCCCTCCTCACATGTACTCCCAAGTGCCAAGAACAACTCTGTTCCGGCAGGAGGATATCATTTGGCTTAAAAGAGGGTGGGAGCGGTAGCTTCTCCACACGAGCATTCTTTGGATTTATGTGGGGATTTATTCTGGGAACTGTTTACAGTCTCCCGCAAGTCTCCCCCCACCGCCAACAACATGTTTCTGTCGCAGAGAGTCGCTCTGCTTTCATTGTTTGTAACTGGAGGATGATACGAGCTTTTCCTCTGGAGCCCGGGTAGGAGGGCTCAGCACGCTCTCTCCACATGCACCATTACTGCCCCAGCATGTTGGCGGGGCCCACACTGAACAGTGCAAAGTGCTTTGTTACCATCATTACAGCCCCAAGGCTTGTCCCCAATATTTGTGAGATAAACCTTAAGACTTCTTCCCAAATAGTTGGTTTCTCCAGCCCTGGCGTGGTGTTCACCCCATGGGGCAGCCCTCCCTGAGCGACTGACAAGCACTCCCAGGTTTAGCTGGAGGGGTCAGGTCCGACTGACATTTGCTTCTCTGTTGTCGTTGCGTCAGACTTAATGATACATGCTAAGGACAGTAGCTGCTCTTCCCCCTCGTCCCCATCGTGGTTTGGGGAGGTTGCGTTGCCCCCTCTGTCACTTTGTATAGTGATTCAGGAATCTGCTGTTGGACATGGAACTAAACTTAGAGACAGGAGGGGTCAGGACCCATGCAGGCAGCAAGCAAGCCTGTCCCCAGACAGGGGAGGGTGGCTCTGGGAGTGAACGCATCCTGGACTTGGTCTGCCTGGACCAAGCGAGTCACCCAGCAAGACCCCTGCTTTAGGGGCTAAAATCAAGTAATCAGGCCAAGGCTGAGTAAGAGCAATCTGAAGTTTGAAGGTGCTTCCAGGTACAACCCCTGATTCAGGTACGGAAACTAAGACAGTGGTCTCCTTTGAGTCCGACCACAATTCTTGAAGGTAAACAGGGCAGTTGTTATTACTCCAAGTTTACCAATGGGGAAACTAAGTTCCAGGAAGTTTAGTTAACTTCCTTAGAGTCAACTAAGTAAGTTACTGGTGGACTTGAGACGAGAAACCTCAAATTCCTGACATCTGTTCCAGTTTTTTCCATTACTCCATGCTGCACTTCAGCAGGGCTTACGCAAAACATCAAATGCAAGTGCTAGCCCTTCCAGCTGGGCAGGAGCTGGAAGCTGGCATGGGTTTCCACTGGCATGTCTGGGGCCCAGGAGGCTGCAGGCACTGTTTCCACTTGCTTGTACAGCAAGGTGAGGCTGCGTGGCTCGGCAGGGCTGAGACCATTTGGGGGCTCGCTGCTTATGAGGCTGTAGTGAGGGGAATGCAGCTGAGAGGGAGAGGAGTGGAGCAATGGTGCGAGTATCTGTGTGTGCACTTGTGTATGTACACTCACACACACACACACAGTCACACACACACAAGCCTGGGATCACAGGTGAACAGCCGTAACTACCGTCTGCCACAATGGCTGTTGAAGGTGGATGGAGCAGATCCCCTTCGAGGTCATCTGCAGCTTCCAGATGCACTGTGGCTTCTTACTTCAAGCTTCTGCATCCTAAAGCCTTTCTCTGGCCACGGGAATTTGCTGAGCCCCTGGGTGGGGCTGAGGCGGCCCAGAAGAGCCCCAGAGCTAATGGTCCTCTGGCACTGGTTAAGACCAATGAGGGATGGAGCTGGGCATAAATGTCTCAGGCTCCTTGCCCCTCGATAAGACAACTGAGGTGTTTTCTATGGGGTCTCTGACAGGGACCCCAGAGGGAGTGAACCCCAATGCTCTCAGCAGCAGCCTGCTCATAACACCCCCCTTTTTGCTTTCCCCTCTTCCGTCTTGCTTCCCCAATCCCTCACTGCATTTCTTGGGATCACCTCCCCCATAAGCTCTGTGCAACCAGATTTCTGTTTCAGGCATGGAAACTAAGACAGTGGCTTCCTAACTAACTCCTGCTTCCCAGGAGCACCTTGTACGTGGTGGGCTTTCAACACAGCCAGGTTCCTGCTCAGAGTGGCAAGTGTGCATTTCCTGGTGAGCACTGCTCCTTTTCAGCCATCGGACAGGAAGCCTGTGGCTCTGGTACAAATAATGATGGAGTTCTACGTGCTGGAAGAATCTTTTTTCCTATGTATCCAGGGGAGGCCCCGCATCAGGGCTGCATGGGTAAGAAATAGAGAACTGAGCTCAGTGTCTTTAAAAACGATGCCAAGTTGAAGTAAGCCTGGAGGATTTTTTTGCTGTTTTGCCAACGACATGGACTCTGTGCAGGTGTGGCCTCAGCTATCCTTCACTCCTTTAAGCCCTGGTGAGCGGCGCCATAAATGCTCCCTTTCCTGGCGGAGGCCTGCATCGCCTTGCTCTCTAAATTCCTCTTAATGCAGCCGCGGAATCTTGGGAGCACGGGAAGGCAGAACCAGGACTCCCCGAGGCGGGAGCAGGTTCCTGGATGCCACCTGCCCTTCAGTCCTCCTGGGTTCCAGCAGACAGCAGATTCGACTTGCAACCAAGCAGACACATGAAAGCAAACGTGCGCTTCTGACATTTTGTAACCCGCCTCCCACAAAACAGAAGGTACTCTTTTCCTTGTGTTATTCCCTGCCTTGTTCTTGACATTTTTAATGTGCTGAGTCTACAGCCGACTTTGCATTCCCGACACCTCCCACTTGAATTGGCTCCTGGTCCCTCCAGGCCTGAGATCCCAGTCACGTGCTACACCCCAGAGAACACTCGACATTCCCTCTCTGGGCAGGCTACCCTCCTCCTAACCTTGACATTTAGGGCCTGCTGTTTCTTTTCCTCTTCTCCTGTAATAAATCAGCGCCAGGCAAGATTCACTGTGCGCTTGGCAGGGCTTGGGGAAGCTGATGCTGGGATAAGGGGGGCTTTTCTGCAAGCACTGGGTGAAAAGCAAGCATTGTCGTTCTGCCCCTGTTGCCTGGCTTTGCAACAGTGTGAAACCCTAAGCAGAGAGCCCAGGTTCCCTTTCCAGGCCCTTGTCTGACCTGCACAAAGCTGAGCGTATCTTCCAAGTTCTTTCGCTTAAACCAGACAAAGTAATGCCGTAATGCCGTCCCTTGCCTGGGTTTTTCCTAGTTTGTAGCCCAGGCTGAGCTGCTGGCTGAGTTCATTCACCTCAGGGGGTCTGGTATGGAGCAGAGTCCTCAACAGCCGAAGGAACACAGAGGCTGGGCCATTTCTGTCCATCCGCCCCCAATCTCCCCAGGCCACGTTTAGAAGTTGGGGTTTGATTCAGCTTGGGAGTGAAGGGAAGTAAGCCTTTTTAGCGCCAAGTGTCAGATACTAAGCAATGCCTAAGGGTATGTATGTACGGGATGATAAA